CCACTTTGGTCGCGATACACAGGTCTTGCGCAATGCACAAATGCAAAACAGTTTCAGCGGCTATTAGTCTATTAAACTAACACTAGAAGAAGTTCGGCCTGCGGTACTGCCGCCGGAATTGACCGATCGGCCGCTGGTAACTTCCGCGAAGTCCACCACCGAACGTCTGCTGGTTGGAGACGGCGTTGGTGTTTGAGAACTCCTGGTTGCCAAACAGTCCCGAGGAAACAGCGTTGGTGGCGCTGGCGGAGTTGGAGCTTACAGCATTGCCTCGAGCAGAACCCTGAAACAACATGTTACTGCTGAAACTTTGCATTGATGAATTACGGTTGTGATGGGCGCACAATTGAGACATTGTATTTCTCAAACGCAGTAAATATATCACAGATGCTGCAGACGCAACCTAAGTTGTTCCTTTCTATTCATGTTTAAAGAACACAATGCTGCAGCTTTTCCCAGTTTTCCCTAGATATGTATCCAGTACAGGCACACTTACTGAGGCGGTGGCGCTGACTTGTGTGATCCGAGAGTTCTGGAAGGGACCACTGCTGACCCCGGACACCACATTGCCGGCGGCATTTCCGGTCGCCTGGCTGTTCTGACCAAACAGACGTCCCGGGAAAAAGCCCTGCGGCAACGCAGCGGCGCCAGCAACTACGCAGAGCAAGATGGCGACGGTCTTCATTGTTGGAGGGAGCTGGAAACGCGATGGCAGGTGATGAGAGCTGGCAATAAACATGCGTGGTATTCAAGAAACGTTTGTTTATTTTCGACAACAGGAAGCCGGCAATGGATCCATGGAAGTAACATAGATGATTGCTTCCAGATTCAACACTTTCATACTGAAAACGAGAAATTATGAACAGTTGGTATAACATTTACCATATAGCTCCAGAGATGGTACGTGATCTGACTCCACAGGCTGCCCACGGCATCCAACGCTGCACGACCACTCACCGTAGAGAGATGATTTAGAAGGCAGGAGGGATAGAAGCTGTCTGAAGGTGGTCTCCTCCTACCCCGGCTTATATGCGGCGAGCCAGGTTCGGGCCAGTCCCACCAGTGGATCTACGCATGGAATTCCCTGATCAGGTATGCCGTTGGCTGTTCGCAGAAGGCACTGGGGCTACCGACGAGTTTGATAGAGGTGCGCATGGCTAGTGTACTGTCACCATCGGTCGGGAAGAGGGACTTTCGGTGTATACGCGGCGACCCGAACGACAAAAAATCTATCCCGTCCACGTCATTCAAGACGCCATGGATAATAAAAGTAACATAGTTACTTAGCAACATAGTTGATTGGAACTTCCATCATAACATAGTTAAGTTACTTCTGAAGCTTTTGTTTTTCGCAGCGAGCAGGAAGACAAAGATTCCACAAGACACTTAGCAGAATTTCTGCTGGACTTGCAGAATCTTTTTTTCTTTCCTTGATCTAAGTGGGCAGAAATGACCGTCCGTCCGCGGACGGCCCGCCTGGGGGCGTTCGGCCGTAGCACCGGGGGCTGCTGTGGAGCGGCCCGCTGGGTCGCCGTACAGCGCGGTGCTGTCAGCTGAGGCGGCAACTGCATCCGAGCTGCGTGCGGGAGAGTCTTCGGCTGCTAGACCCCTGCTGACGCGTCATCTATTACGGGACTTTCGGTTGAGGCACCGGGGGAGGCGGAGCGGTCAGCCGGGCAGCTGTCTGCCAATCAGCTGCCCCCCGAGCCGCTGGCTGGCGAGGCTCCTTCGTCTTCCGGACTTCCTGCCGGGGTATGTCACGCAGATAAAACCAGCAAAACCGCTGGTTAGTGTCTAATGTAAGTAAACCCCAGGTTGTTACCAAATAAAAAAGCCAAACTAATTCCCTGTATCTTGTGGGAATCTTAGTGGCTGCAGTCTAACCAAAACGTCAAATTAAAGTATTTTTCAAGTGAAAGTTTTTGTGTCATCTGTATTGTTCAATATGTAAGTGGCTTTTGCATTTTCTCAGTCACACCGCTACGGACACCCCTTAAATATCGTCAGTCAATCTTGACCAAGTGACCTGGTACTACTACCAGTGCATATTGTGATTTTTTCGATTGTTCCATCTACAGAGTTTTCATTTTTTGAAACTTGTGCGTTCTGGGCCGCGGGCTGCTGCCGCTCAGATCACCGGTGGGCCACGTCATGCCGATGTCTGTTTATGCCAGTTTTTGTTAGTTTTTGAGTGTGAAAAAATGGTCTAGCAATTTGCGTATGTGTGTGGGTACCTCACACGCTAATCGCCATTTGTCTTGTATGGAAACAGCTGATTGCTATCAAGCCTCGTGCAGGTGGCATTTAGTAAGGTTTTCCGGCTTTTGCAGCACACGCAACACACACACACACGCACGCACACACGCAAGCACGCACACACACACACACACCTGTCCATGCGCGCGCGTACTTGCACCGTTACATCCATTTACTGTTGATCGGAAACCGTCTAAATCATGACTTAGCTCAGATCCATGCCCATGAACTACCGCGGTGTGGTGGAGCAGCACAAAAGACGAGACGTAATTAACTTTGTAAATAATTCTAGGTTTCACATCATATTTCTTCATGATACCCTCATGGCTGCACGCAACATTCCATTTTTCAACAAGCTTTGGTATGGCAAAGGTTATCATTCCTGTAAACCGAACGAGGATGTCCCTGCGTTCTTTCAGTCAATCGGTGCCGAACTAGAAAGTCTCACACCGGTTAACATGGTAATTAGTGGCGACTTTAACTCCGTTATGAACCATAGACAGGACTCAAATAACATACATAAACATAACGTAAATGGAAAAACTGCATTTACGGAAGGTGCCATAAAGCACAGTTTGGTTAATATCTGGAGGCACTTTGATCCAACCGATCACAAGTTTACATGGGTCAAATGTAACCCAATCAAATGTAGTATATTATGTAGGTATGTTGTAAGCGACCATTTACTTAATTACACCACAAACAACGAGATTCAAGCAGGTTATAAAACAGATACTAATATAGTAATATCTCCACTAAAAGAACCTCAACAGCAAAAAGGACCAGGGCTGTGGAAGCTCAATGATTCATTGCTAACAGAGAGTAGCTATGTAATGACCGTTAAATGGTGCACAAGTCATGCAATCAAGCAACATGCTGTTCCATTGTATGGCGACGCTTACTTGAAAAATCCGCTTAATTTCGAAACTTACAATTCACAGTAGATGTAGCCGTGTTTTAAGAAATGCTGATGATGATTCGAGGCGGAACCGTAAAATACTCTAAGCGGTAAGCAAAACGTGAAAGAAAGCAAGACCAGGCAATCGTCAGTGTACTGAATGGTTTACATAACAGGTTCTCAGCCACTAAATCAGAACAAGACGCTAGCCTGAAGACATACGATCAAACTAAATGAGAAGATCCTTAGGAAGCCGAAAATTCAAGGCGTGATAACCAGGTCGAGAGCCGCATAGCACGATCACGGCGAAAAAAAAAACACAACGTATTTTCTGTGGTTAGAAAAAAAATGGAACTCGAAAATCTATTCAGTCCCTGAGTTTGAGCAGCCGAATCATTATAAGGAAAGGACAAATATTAAATGAATTCACATCTCACCTGTCATCAAAACACCGCGAGAGAAGCGATGGCACGGACTGCTCCGCATATTTACAAAAATACCTTACGCTTAAAAATACAAAAATATCTGCGGGGATCAACCAATGCTGGCTGAACCTGCGCTCATGCGCGTTACTCGTAATTTTCCAATTGCACCCCAGCTTGACCTGGAACTGCCCAGCTAATGCAGCGAGTCACAAACACAAAAGGTTTTTATATGAGCGACAGTCAACTTCTACTTTGCCGTGTTCACTGAAATAATGTTTGCTGCGGACCATTGCTCATGCATTTATGACCTGAATGGTAAAAGTGGAAAAATTTGGCATTAATATCAAGTTCAAAAGCATGGTCAAGTAAGACCCGTTGGCGTATTTGTGTGACACTCTCTGCAAGGGCTGAGGTCATTAGCTTAGGTTTCGCGACATTGAGCATAACGTGTCAAATGCATGAACCGTTAATACTTTACAGCAGCCCACATGTCTACATCTGTGTTTGTTCCAAAAACCAAGTGATCTTGTAAAAATTCACATATCGTTTTTTCAGGATTGTCCTTGTCCGTGTCGAAGGACGAAACAGGATGAGGTTAACAATCCACCCGTAGCACATGTGGCTGCGCCCACATCCACGCGCTACCAGTTCTTAATATTGTGAAATGGGAGTTCTTATCCTGACGAAAATTGACCATGAGTTTAAGAGATTGTGCAAAGGTAAAAGTAGCGCAAGCAGATATCACTAATTTTCCCCAAATTTGCTGGCAACGTAACCTGTCATACAATATGTATTGGTCGGTACCCACGATTTTATCCAACCAGTAAGGCCTTTTAATTTACGGCACAACCTTGTCTTTTGTATTTTATGACAACTGTGAATAAGAAAGTTGGCGGATTAAAACAAGCTGATGACAAATGATTGATAGATAGTGACTGATAAGACGGGCCAAGACCGTCAAAGGACCTGCTGCGGAAATACTTTGATCTAAGTTTAGACAAACCGATTATAAAATATAGTGAATGTCCTCAAGTAACAACAATAAACTTGTCTACTAAACGCTCGCAATGACCTGGTGTGTGCACTCCATATCATTGTGTTGCCCTGCTGGACGTTAAACATTGGTTTTCAAACGTATGAATCGTCATAACCTTACATCAACGAGTTTTTTGACATTCATGGGCAACAGTCATTTGCAGCGCAGACATCCATAAATTGCGTATCCGCAAATACAGTCGCTGCAAGAGTGAACCGAGCTTCACTGAAGTGCAGGTACCGGGACGGCGCCCGATGGGTGATGGTAAGCTGGTCCATGCGCACCTCTACCGGAAGCCTTCGGCCGGGCCGTGCGTTTTCTCTATATGATCCGCGACACGCTCCGGTCAGGGAATCCCGCGCACACGCCCAATCAGTGGAACAGGCCCCAATCAGGCCCCTGGTATATAAGCCAGGTCGGGAGGAGGGCAGCTTCAGACACTTCCCAGTTCTTCTGGACAACACAACTACCTTTCCTCCGGTGAGTGATCCAAATCCTAAAAACAGAAAACTCACAGCTTTGGAGTGGCCCGTCCCCCGAGTTCATCAGTTTTGAAATGGCGCTTATACCGACATAAGTCATCCGGTCATTGGTGGTTGGCACGTCCACAATTATGTCTTGCCCGCTTTCGACCGATGATAGTTTCCGCATCTTACCATCCGCCGTCACATTTCCAGTTCCCTTCAAGATGCAGACCGTCACCATCTTGCTCTGCGTGGCTGCTGCCGCCGCTGCATTGCCGCAGGGCTTCTTCCCAGGTGGTCTGTTCAGTCAGAACGGTCAGGCGACCGGAAGTGCCGCCGGCAATGTGGTGTCCGGGGTCAGCAGTGATCCCTTCCAGAACTCTCGGATCACGCAAGTCAGCGCCACCGCCTCGGTAAGTGTCCCTGCTACTGGGTACATCGCTAGAGAGTGTTACAATAAGAGCTTCGGCGTAATGGTCTTTCAACAGATACGGACACTCCCTTAGATGTCATCCACGTCATCCGAGTTTTTGCATCACTTACAGGAGTCATTACTTCGGTTTTGTAAATGTGTATCTGCCGTTTCAGGGTTCAGCCAGAGGCAATGCTGTAAGCTCCAACGTCGCCAGCGCATCCAACGTCGTTTCCTCGGGGTTGTTTGGCAACCAGGAGTTCTCAAACACCAACGCCGTCTCCAACCAGCAGACGTTCGGTAGTGGACTTAGCGGAAGTTACCAGCAGCCGATCGGTCAATTCCGGCGGCAGTACCGCAGGCGGAACTTCTACTAATCATGATCTAGCTGGTCCAGCGTTCGGGGAGTTGTTAGGGCATCTGTTAATAGTGTGTAGCGATGTGTGTGGCACGGATGAAAGAGCATTCAGTTTGTAATAATTGCATTCGTACTCCTCGTCGTTTTCAAACCCACATAACCCTAATTGTGTTCCATTGTCATAGCATGAAATAAATGAACTATCTGACGAATTTGGATGTTTGGAGCTAACTGATCCCAGGCTAGCTGCAAACATAGGGGTGCCACTTCTATCTGCAGCAAGTATGTAAGAACGGCGCAGTATGTGCAAATATGTATGCAAGTATGTATGAATGGTGTAGAATGGCAAGTCTGTAAAAAGCAGTTGAAATGAGCCATTATTAAATGCTCGAACTAGTCTGCTTCAACGTCACTTATACGATATAGTTTATTTCGCCCTCGCTCCTTTTGACCAGACCTCGTTGGTCAATTTCAGTCATTCAGAATCGCATTTGTTGATATTCACCAGTGGCGATCTCGGGGCGATAGCAAGATCCATTCCGCTTTGAGATAGCATGCGAACTCTACAAAGAGCTAATTGAAGGTCGTGGCCTCATATGGCCGGTCAAATATTGCATTCACTATCGTTTAGTCATATTTTTCTGGTGCGGCTTGACGGGATCTGCCAAATGCCACCACCCTGTGGCTCTAGCGTGCTGAGTCTTGGAAGGGAGAGGTGATGGTTGTGCTGACATCCATATGAGCATTGCATGAAATGCTTTGTAGATATCACTTTAGGATCACAGTCCATGCCAAGCAAATTTTGCTACAAAGATGCTGACGACTGCAGCGGAGTAATTTTGGTTTAAGCAGTTCAATGGACAATTTTGTGACCCGACCTTACTTCGCAACGCCATGCCGTGATTTGGTCGATACCAGCCTAATCCTCCCATGACCCGCCTGCATTTGACTGCCCTTAGCAGGTCAAAGTTTTGAAAACTAACTTCTCAGACGTGAGCTCACTTAGTCGATCACTCTTGTGGTAAGATGTCCAGGACCAATGCTATATAGGCCACGGACGCGACAACGTCATTCGTTTTCGTCAGCTTGAAATCAGGAAGGAGTTGACAACTGTACAAGTAGTAGCTTGCTTTCCCTTACGTGTGTGTTAGGCTTCAAAAGCACTAGCAATACCATCAGGTTTAACAATGATGAAATCGTTGAAAAGGTAACCATCATATCAGGCCTGAACGAATCCTTTGGTCCAATTGCATCAGATCGGTTGCCTCATGCCAAATGTTTTTCTCTCATGTTCTTTGCTTCTGGCAATGGAAATAAGGTAAAACTCGAAGGCCATACCGACGAGGAACAATTCAGAGAACATACGGAGGACTATACAAAAGCGGACAGGCCAAACTTGCAATTATGCACCGGTATCATTAAATGCGAACTGTAAATGGGATCGAATGTAAACCGCTTCTGGTGTCGATTTGACCACCGACACATTCATTTTGGTAATAACCTATCAAGTGCCACCTTGCTAGTCAACAAGACACATCTGTCAATTATTCAAAGCACCACGGGAAACTAAGTGCCTACTTTATCCACCAATCCTGAAACTCTCTTCACTAGGCGGGTGGCGACAATTTTGCTCCCCCTGCTTATAACTATTCAGTTATGACAGATGCATAGTGGTCTGTATCTTATCTTATCAGGGGCTTGAAAAATGTTAGCGAACGTTGATTCACATTGCTGTGCTCAAATGCTTCGTGCTAATGGGGAATCTAAGAGCCTTTTGTGTGCGCTTCTTGCATCTCAGCTGCATGAGTGAAAGTGATTTTTCACTGTCTCCAGCTGACACTAGAAATCTATGATTTCAAAAGGCGTCCTCCAAGTACTGTATATATTTCATTTCATGACGATGAAACACAACCATGATCATGAGTCTAGCCACAATGCAAATGACGATACATCGCGTACGCAAAGAACAGATGCCTTAACAATATCCTGAACGCAGGGCGAGCTAGATAATGACTAGTAGAAGTTCGGCCTGCGGTACTGCCGCCGGAATTGACCGATCGGCCGCTGGTAACTTCCGCTAAGTCCACCACCGAACGTCTGCTGGTTGGAGACGGCGTTGGTGTTTGAGAACTCCTGGTTGCCGAACAGCCCCGAGGAAGCGACGTTGGAGGCGCTGGCGACGTTGGAGCTTACGGCGTTGCCACTGGCTGAGCCCTGAAACAACACGTGAGTTTTTATGTAAGATACAGCTGGCATACACCAATGGAGGTGATGACAACTATGTCAATTCAGATACGGTGATTCTTGGATTATGCAATTTCATCATAAGTGTCCCGAGGTTCAATCAATAGTATATCGTCCACAGCTGCATGAAGAACATTATACCGACATTGCTTAGCTCAACCAGTCTACTGGGGCTAACTTCATGTAATCCCTAGTGGTATCACCAATAGCAGGTCAGCCTACCGAGGCGGTGGCGCTGACTTGCGTGATCCGAGAGTTCTGGAAGGGACCGCCGCTGACCCCGGACACCACATTGCCGGCGGCACTTCCGGTCGCCTGGCCGTTCTGACTGAATAAACCACCTGGGAAGAAGCCCTGCGGCAACGCAACGGCGCCAGCAACCAGGCAGAACAACATGGCCACGGTCTTCATTGTTGGATGGAGCTGGAAACGTTACGGCGGATCACAAGATGACGAAATTCACATGCATGTTTTCAGTAAGTCAATTCAATGTCAAGCGATAAAGTATCATGCAAATACCGAATACACCACACGGTGCCTTTGTAAGCAATTTGATCGTTGCCAGGCATGCATTTATTTACGAGCAACACCAAGCGGCTTTAAGTCAGCAAAATCTCCATTCAAATTCGGGGAAAGTACGTCAGCTGACGTCATTGACCTCAAATGAGTTCATCGAGTCCTGCTCACTAACCGTGAGGAGTTAGTGTGCTCAGCGGTAGAACGGAATAGCTTCTGAAGCTGCTCACACAATTTTCTGGCTTATATGCGACCAAACGGGTTTGGGGTGGCCCCACTGAACGGGCGTATACGTGGGATTCCCTAGCCAAGGTACGCCGCTGGCTGTTGGCGGAAGACGCCCAGTGCGGCCTTTGGCCCTGTTTAGAGATGCGCATGGCTCATCCGTGGCGCCAGTCATTTCAGTGACTGAGGAGATGATGGCGGGGGTGTCGAGTCGAAATATTATATCATCTACCCATGGACCCGCGTCACTTGCTGCTGTCCCAATATGACATGTTTTATGCTGTGTTTATGGTCACGATTCTAGTCACGAGTAAGGGCTTGTTGCAACGTGCTCGAGCACAACCTGAAACGTTGAGCTTGATTAATGAAGCAACGTATTCTTTGCTAGCATCGTGAAACCAGCGCCAACCGAAATGTAAGAGTGAACATTGTGGTTGGATTTGGATGAGAAGAAGAACTTTGAGCTAGTAATGCCAACAAATATGACCTTAAAGCACTGTTTCTGCATCAAGCCTTGCTCATCAATCATACGCACTCTGTAGCCTCGCGTTTGGGCTTCCCAGGCTCTTTTGCTCTTGCTGAAAACTTACTCTCATGGCCTTGATTACTGAAAACCAGAGCGTACTGTGAGTGATGTAATCAACGTTAAAAAAGCAGCACATACAGTAACATTTTGAAGCATTCTTTGGAAGTATCTACCCGATGTTTACGCCATAGTGTTTATCGCATCACCCATATCAATCATTTTATAGAAAGCTAGATCTAACTCAATCCGTTATACAAATTAGATTGGTATGTACCCATAATTTTACCCAACCAAAGAGTCTTTTAAGTTGCGGTACAACCTTCAATCAACATACGACAAATGCTTATAATAAATTTGTACATAGGACAGAAAGCTTTTGGCAAAGGAAACATTGATAAGGCATGCCAGCAGAGTTACACAATATAATGACGGACAATATTTTGGGATTAGCTTATGAAAACTTATTCAAAAGCATAGTGCTTGCTCTTATTTAAGATACAAACACCTTGTATTCACTTACAATTGCAAACGTAAAGCAGACAGTCCACAACCAAAGGAATTGATCTTTAAAAAAGGCGCCAGTTGATCTTTCCAACAATTTGCATCACAACCTTGCATAACGCAACAGCTGTAAAGGTGAAGAAGCCTTCTCTCACTCTCTAAGAACGCACACGGTAGCTGGAGCCGACCAACGTGCGGCGAGCCGACGCATGACTGTGGAAGACCAACATCCGTCTTAAGCACACGACGGAGTCGTGATGATGGTCGAGTTGTGCACGGTGGTGATGTCCTGCTCATAGGCAGCGAATGCGTGGTGCGCGGTTTCAAACGGACGAGCAGTGGCGTAAGTTGTTCTCTGGGACTCAACCCGCAACTACTCGTGGGCCTTCGCTTAATACCTTTCCAATTGTGTGTGGTGTCTTTGGATACATTCACCCACACTGCAGTGCAGAAGACGGGGAAGTCAAACTATCGAATGTTTGGTGGAGAACATCAGCCCGTTTGAAAACGTGGGGAGAGCTGCAGTTTCGTTGCGGCTGCGACGTTTTGCTGCATAGGCACACACCTCTGAAGGCATTCCAAACACGGTAGTATATGTCCAACATTGTAAACATGCATGACACTCTAATCCATTCACCACGTGATGTGACGAACACATAGAATAGAAAACAGAAAGCAGATGCGATAAAATTGTTCTACTTGGCCTCGGGCATATGGATTCAATTTTTGCCGCACTTATCTGAAAGCGGCGTGACTAAAGGGTTATGTGGTGTGATTGTGCGTGGTGTGCGCCCTCGTCCTCGCTGTCTTCCGAGCTCTGCATCTGACTGGGTGTCGGGGGGCGTCACGTGACTGTGGGTCTCTCGATTCGCCCGGGGTCAAGGGTCGGCCGCTGAGGCAGCGGCAGGGACCCGACGCTTGCAGGTGCCAGTCGGATTTTGGACGAGTCTAGGCGGATACATCGCTACGTTCTCTTACATGTCCTTCAACCACAGTCGTTTCAACTTTGCAGTTCAAAACGCCACACAAACTGTCCTTGACGCACTTTATCAAGGCCTATTGTTCATATACATGACCAACAGTCAACAACAGCGCAGACACGTCATCACATTACGTATCTGCAATGACAGTCGTCTGTAAGAGCAAACTGAGCTTCATTGAGGTGTACAGACCGGAACGGCGCCCGGTGGGTGGTGATGAACTGGTCCATGCGCTCCTCTAATGGAACTGGCCGGCCGGACCGTGCGTTTTCTCCTCACGTCCCGCGACAGGGTCCGGCCAGGGAATCCCGCGTACACGCCCAATCGGTGACACAGGCCCGAATCAGCTCCCTGGTATATAAGGCCGATGCATGATATATACATGTATATGGCTAGTCAAAGATCGCATTCGCTTCTGTTTAGTCATGTATTTCTGATGCCGCTTGACGATAGCTGCCCAATGCCCGTACCCTGTGACTCTAGGTTGTTGAGTTCTGAAGATTACGGTGAAGGTTGTGCTGACATTTCTATGGGCACTGTATCACATGTCTTGTAGATATGACTGTGAGATCATGGTCCCCACCAAGCAAATATTGCTGGAAAGATCCTGACAGCCCCAGCAGAGTAATTTTGGTTCAGCCAGTTCGGCGGATCATTTTGTGGCCCGACTGCATCTTGCTACGTAGTGTTATGATTCAGCTGATACCAGGCTGATACTTCCGTGACCAGCTGACAATCGATTGTATTGAGTAGGCCAAATTGGTGGAAACACTTCTGAGATGCGAGCTCACATAGTCGACGACTCTTGCGATCCGGTGTTCATGATTACTTCTACCTGAGCTGCGCAAGCGGAAACGTCTTTTCTTGCCGTCAGTTTGAGATAAGGAAGCAGGTAATAATCGTAAGAGAATTATCTTGTTTTCCTTTGCGTGCGTGTGTTAGCCTTCAAATGTACTAGCAGTGCTATCAGGCCTAAAATGACTAAATCAACAACTAGTCAACCATTTTATCAGACATTGCCGAATCCATTTCGCCATGTTGCATCAGAGCGGTTGCCTCATGCCCATTGCTTTTTTGGATGGTTTTATCTCCCGGTAGTGAAAATAATATAAACTTTGAAGGCAATTCCATATCAATGGCAAACACCTATGTTAATATACTTGAGAGTAAAAAATAGCGGACAGACAGGGTGTGTTGGCATGCACATGAACTCACTTAATTCAAAAGTTTGAGGTTCCTATTGCACGACTTTCAGGTTAAATAAAGTCAAACAATGTCAAACTCCAGCTTGGTGTCCGAAGTGGCTCCATAACCTAAATGCATGTTCTAAGCAAAAGGTCACATCCTCATTTCGAACCAGTAGCCTTGTTGGACTTCTCGGAAATAATGGTGACCGAAATCATGCAAGAATACTTTGAGTTTTGCATTTGAATAGCCCACAAAGGTGACGCTAGGCAGTATGCCCCTAAAAACAAACGGTTGATCTGGGCCATTTTTGGTCAGTGAAATATTCTGACTCAAAAGATGTTCATGGAAGATGTATAATGCGGTCCTTTCTATCAATCAATTCGACATGAGCACTAGAAACTACCCCATGCAACAGCCCCTAATGTAATAGCACAGTTTGGTTTTGACCTTTGTCTGAATTTCGTACCTGACCCTCAGTCAATGTGATTTGCTTATTCAGGTGCTGTATTGGCCAATAAAGTATCTCAGAGATGTATGGTTTCGTGTAACACTCCGTTGTTGTATTAGATTGAGCGATTCCCTAGCAATTAACTTCGCTGAATCGATGCCTGATTTTGACCTGCCCTAGGTCAATGACTTTACAAGGTCAATCTAATTTTTCAGAAAAAATCAAGCTACACGCTATTCAATTGTGTATGAATATGCAAACTTTGGCATTTCAACACCTCGTCGTTCGGAAACCATTTTGGGAAAACCTTCGGACGTGTTAATTTGAACTTTACCAGAGCGTATGTTAAATGTTTTGTGGAGCACAGCAGTATGTGCAAAAACAAAAAACATGAGGTGGGCTGCAGTTGTGCTGCAGCAGCCACACTTGGCTGCCGAAGCGCACACCTCTGAACGTGTCCCAAACTAAGCAGTCTAAGCCCAAAATTATAACCATTAAGGACACCTTAATATTCTGAATCACTATAAGTGATTAAGAATATTAAAGTGTCCATTTACCACACCTTGCGACGAACAAATGTAAACGAAAGCAGAAAACTGTAATGCATCTGACTTAAGTCGCACTCATCTTAAAGCAGTCTGACTTCAGAATTGTTCAGCCATGGTTGGACCAAACTTGACAGTTTGAAACGCCACCGAAACGGTCCTTGACGCACGTTGTCAGTGACGATTGTTCGCATATATGAGCAACAGCCATTAACTCTGCAGACACGTCGTATCAATTGCGTATCTACGTATGTAAGTGACAATCATCTGTAAGAGAAAATTAGCTTCAATAAAGTGCAGGTATCGGGACTACTCCCGATGGGTGATGGTAAGCTGGTCCATGCGCACCTCTACCGGAAGCCTTCGGCCGGGCCGTGCGTTTTCTCCAAATGCTCTGCGACACGCTCCGGTCAGGGAATCCCGCGCACACGCCCAATCAGTGGAGCAGGCCCGAATCAGCTCCCTGGTATATAAGTCAGGTTGGGAGGAGGGCAGCTTCAGACACTTCCCAGTTCTTCAGGACAGCACAGCTACCTTTCCTACTGTGAGTGACCCATATCCTAATAACATAAAACTCACAGCTTTAGAGTGACCCTTCCCCCAAGCACATTACTTTCGAAATGGCGCGTATACCGACATAAATCATCCAGTTAGTGGGGTTCGTACATCACCAATTATGTCGTGCACGCTTTCAACCGATGATAATTTCTGCATCTTACAATCCGCCGTCGCGTTTCCAGCTCCCTTCAGAGATGAAGACCGTCGCCATCTTGTTCTGCGTGGCTGCTGGAGCCGCTGCATTGCCGCAGGGCTTCTTCTCAGGTGGTCTGTTCAGTCAGAACGGTCAGGCGACCGGAAGTGCCGCCGGCAATGTGGTGTCCGGGGTCAGCGGCGGTCCCTTCCAGAGCTCTCGGATCACGCAAGTCAGCGCCACAGCCTCGGTAAGTGTGCCTGCTACCGGATCCACCGCTAAAAAGAGTCGCAATAAAAGATTCAGCTTAATGCTCGTTGATCAGGCACGGACCCTCCTGCTTTGCTTAAACGACCCCGTTATCTGGATGTCTACATCAGTTACAGGAGTCATTCATATACCCACGTTATGTTTGTTTGTTAATATCCATGTGTTGTTTCAGGGATCAGCCAATGACAACGCCGTAAGCTCCAACGTGGCCAGCGCCTCCAACGTCGCTTCTTCGGGGCTGTTCGGCAACCAGGAGTTCTCAAACACCAACGCCGTCTCCAACCAGCAGACGTTCGGTGGCGGACTTAGCGGAAGTTACCAGCGGCCGATCGGTCAATTCCGGCGGCAGTACCGCAGGCCGAACTTCTACTAGTCATGACCTAGCTGGCCCTGTGTTCAGGAAGTTGTTATGGTATCTGTTAAAAGTGTGTAGCGATGTGTGTGTGTAGCGGATGAAGAACCATTCAGTTTGCAATAGTTGCATTCATTCTCCTCGTCGTTTTCAAACTCACATGACCTTAATTGTGTTCCATTGTCATAGCATGAAATAAATGAACCATCTGACGAATTTGGATATTTGGAGCTATCTGATCTCGGGCCAGCTGAAAACATGGAAGCACCGCTTCTATCTTTACCAAGTGCGTAGAAATGGCGTAGGATGTGCAAGCACGTATGCATGGCGTACAACGGCAAATATGTAAAAAATACAGTTGAAATGAGCCAATATGAACTGCTCGAAATAGTCTGCTTTAACCACACTTGCACAATATAGTTTATTTTGCCCTCGCTCCTTTTGACCAAAGACCTCCTTGGACAATTTCATAGTCATTCAGGCTCGTGTGTGTGTGTGTGTTCACGAGGGGCGATCTCGGGGAGTTTTCCAGGAGCTAATCAACGCCATCTTCATCAATTTCAAGGCATTTTATTTTTTGAGAGAACAGCAAGACTCTACAAAGTGCTAATTGAAGGTCGTGGCCTCATATGACCTGTCAAATATCGCATCCACTATTGTTTAGTCATATCTTTCTGGTGCGACTTGACGAGAGCCGCCAAATGCCATTACCCTGTAGCTCTCTCTAGCGTGCTGAGTGTTGGAATTAAAGATGATGGTTGTGCTGACATCTCTGTGAGCATTGTATCAAATGTTTTGTAGATATGACTTTGGGACCACAGTCCCTGCCAAGCAAATCTTGCTGCAAAGATCTTGGCCACTCCAGTGCGATAATTTCGATTTAAACAGTTCAATGGATCATTTTGCGACCCAACCTTTCTTTGTTACGTCATATCATGTCTTCGCCGATACCAGTCTGATCCTTCCGTAACCAGCCTGCATTTGACTGTCCTTAGGAGGCCAATTTTTTGAAAACTTACTTCTGGAACGTGAGCTCACTTAGTCGATCACTCTTGTGGTCAGATGCTCATGACTAATGCTACGTAGGCCACGGACGTGACAACGTCTTTCGTTTTCGTCAGCTTGAACTTAGGAAGGAGTTGACAACCGTACAAGTAGTAACTTGTTTTTCCTTACATGTATGTTGGGCTTGCAAAGTATTCGCAATGCCATCAGGTTTAGCAATGATGAAATCAATAAAAGGGTAATCATCATATCATACCTGGCCCAATCCATTTGGTCCAATTGCATAAGATCGGTTGCCTTATGCCAATTGTTTCCTCCCATGGTCTTTGTTCCTGGCAATGGAAATAAGGTAAAACTTGAATGCCACATCGACGTGAAACGTTTCATAGAACATAAAGAAGACAGGCCAAACTCGTATAGATCCACTGCTATTACTAAATGCGAACTGTTTATGATCTCTAAACGGGATCGACTGTAAAATAACTACCTAAACGAACTAAATGTCTAGCTTATCCACAGATCCTGAAACTGTTTTCACTAGGCGGGTGGTAACAATTTTATCTTCCTATTTATAACTATCCAGCTATGACAGATGCATAGTGGTCTGTATCTTATCTTACCAGGGCTTCGAAAAATGCTAGCGAGCGTTGATTCACATTGCTGTGCTCAAATGCTTCGTGCTAATGGGGAATCTATGAATCATTCGCGTGCGTGTTTTGCATCTCAGCTAGGTGTGGAAGTGTCTTTTCAATGCCCATAGCTGACACCAAAAATGCATGGTTTCAAAAGGCATCAGTTAGATATTGTGTATATTTGTTTATATTTATTGTGTATATTTCGTGAAGGTGAAACACAGCCATGATCATGCATCTAGTCATTATGCGAATGTCGATACATTATGTACGCGAGTAACATATATCCTGGCGACTTCCCGAACACTAGGCCAAGCTAGATCATGACTAGTAGAAGTTTGGCCTGCGGTACTGCCGCCGGAATTGACCGATCGGCCGCTGGTAACTTCCGCTAAGTCCACCACCGAACGTCTGCTGGTTGGAGACGGCGTTGGTGTTTGAGAACTCCTGGTTGCCGAACAGCCCCGAAGAAACAGCGTTGGAGGCGCTGGCGGAGTTGGAGCTTACGGCGTTGCCACTGGCTGAGCCCTGAAACAACATGTGAGTTTTCATGTAAGATACAGCTGGAATATACTAATGGGGGTTATGTCAACTATGACACTTCAGACACTGTGATTCTTGGATTATGCAATTTCATCATAAGTGTCCTGAGGTTCAATCAATAGTATATCGTCCACAGCTGCATGACGAACATTATACCGACATTGCTTAGCTCAACCAGCCTACTGGGGCTAACTTCACACAATCCCTAGCGGTATATCTAGTAGCCGACACACTTACCGAGGCGGTGGCGCTGACTTGCGTGATCCGAGAGTTCTGGAAGGGACCGCCGCTGACCCCGGACACCACATTGCCGGCGGCACTTCCGGTCGCCTGGCCGTTCTGACTGAATAAACCACCTGGGAAGAAGCCCTGCGGCAACGCAGCGGCGCCAGCAACCAGGCAGAACAACATGGCCACGGTCTTCATTGTTGGATGGAGCTGGAAACGTGACGGGGATCATAAGATGACGAAATTCACATGCATGTTTTCAGTAAGTCAATTCAATGTCAAGCGATAAAGTATCATGCAAATACCGAATACACCACACGGTGCCTTTGTAAGCAATTTGATCGTTGCCAGGCATGCATTTATTTACGAGCAACACCAAGCGGCTTTAAGTCAGCAAAATCTCCATTCAAATTCGGGGAAAGTACGTCAGCTGACGTCATTGACCTCAAATGAGTTCATCGAGTCCTGCTCACTAACCGTGAGGAGTTAGTGTGCTCAGCGGTAGAACGGAATAGCTTCTGAAGCTGCTCACACAATTTCCTGGCTTATATGCGACCAAACGGGTTTGGGGTGGTCCCACTGAATGGGCGTGTACGTGGGATTCCCTAGCCAAGGTACGCCGCTGGGTGTTGGCGGAAGACGCGCTGTGTGGCCTTTGGCTCTGTTTAGAGAAGCGCATGGCTCATCCGTGGCGCCAGTCATTTCAGTGACTGAGGAGATGATGGCGGGGGTGTCGAGTCGAAATATTTTATCATCTACACATGGACCCGCGTCACTTACTGCTGTCCCAATATGACATGTTTCATGCTGTGTTTATGGTCACGATTCTAGTCACGAGTAAGGGCTTGTCGCAACGTATTCTAGCACAACCTGAAACGTTGAGCTTGATTAATGAAGCAACGTGTTCTTTGCTAGCATCGTGAAACCAGCGCCTACCGAAATGTAAGAGTGAACATTGTGGTTGGATTTGGATGAGAAGAAGAACTTTGAGCTAGTAATGCCAACAAATATGAGCTTAAAGCACTGTTTCTGCATCAAGCCTTGCTCATCAATCATACGCACTCTGTAGCCTCGCGTTTGGGCTTCCCAGGCCCTTTTGCTCTTGCTGAAAACTTACTCTCATGGCCTTGATTACTGAAAACCAGAGCGTACTGTGAGTGATGTAATCAACGTTAAAAAAGCAGCACATACAGTAACATTTTGAAGCATTCTTTGGAAGTGTTTAGCATCACCCATATCAATCATTTTATCGAAAGCTGGGTCTAACCCAATCCGTTATACAAGTTAGATTGGTATGTACCCATAATTTTACCCAACCAAAGAGTCTTTTAAGTTGCGGTGCAACCTTCAATCAACATACGACAAATGCTTATAATAAATGTGTTCAGAGGACAGAAAGCTTATGACAAAGGAAACATTGATAAGGCATGCCAGCAGAGTTACACAATATAATGACGGACAATATTTTGGGATTAGCTTATGAAAACTTATTCAAAAGCATAGTGCTTGCTCTTATTTAAGATACAAACACCTTGTATTCACTTACAATTGCAAACGTAAAGCAGACAGTCCACAACCAAAGGAATTGATCTTTAAAAAAGGCGCCAGTTGATCTTTCCAACAATTTGCATCACAACCTTGCATTACGCAACAGCTGTAAGGGTGAAGAAGCCTTCTCTCACTCTCTAAGAACGCACACGGTAGCTGGAGCCGACCAACGTGCGGCGAGCCGACGCAAGACTGTGGAAGACCAACATCCGTCTTAAGCACACGACGGAGTCGTGATGATGGTCGAGTTGTGCACGGTGGTGATGTCCTGCTCATAGGCAGCGAATGCGTGGTGCGCGGTTTCAAACGGACGAGCAGTGGCGTAAGTTGTTCTCTGGGACTCAACCCGCAACTACTCGTGGGCCTTCGCTTAATACCTTTCCAATTGTGTGTGGTGTCTTTGGATACATTCACCCACACTGCAGTGCAGAAGACGGGGAAGTCAAACTATCGAATGTTTGGTGGAGAACATCAGCCCGTTTGAAAACGTGGGGAGAGCTGCAGTTTCGTTGCGGCTGCGACGTTTTGCTACATAGGCACACACCTCTGAAGGCATTCCAAACACGGTAGTATATGTCCAACATTGTAAACATTTATGACACTCTAATCCATTCACCACGTGATGTGACGAACACATAGAATAGAAAACAGAAAGCAGATGCGATAAAATTGTTCTACTTGGCCTCGGGCATATGGATTCAATTTTTGCCGCACTTATCTGAAACCGGTGTGACTATAGGGTTGTATGGTGCAATTGTGCGGGTTGTGCGCCCTCGCCCTCGCTCTCTTCCGAGCTCTGCATCTGACTGGGTGTCGGGGGCGTCACGTGACTGTGGGTCTTCCGATTCGCCCGGGGTCAAGGGTCGGCCGCTGAGGCGACGGCAGGGACCCGACGCTTGCAGGTGCCAGTCGGATTTTGGACGAGTCCAGGCGGATACATCGCTACGTTCTCTTACATGTCCTTCAACCACAGTCGTTTCAACTTTGCAGTTCAAAACGCCACACAAACTGTCCTTGACGCACTTTATCAAGGCCTATTGTTCATATACATGACCAACAGTCAACAACAGCGCAGACACGTCATCACATGACGTATCTGCAATGACAGTCGTCTGTAAGAGCAAATTGAGCTTCATTGAGGTGTAGAGACCGGAACGGCGCCCGGTGGGTGGTGATGAACTGGTCCATGCGCTCCTCTAACGGAACTCGCCGGCAAGACCGTGCGTTTTCTCCTCACGTCCCGCGACATGCTCCGGCCAGG